TGTTCCCGACATCCTTAGAAACACGATCCTACCACTTATAGGGTCTATATAAAGGGCGCGGGGTCAACATACGGCTTAAGGTTTCGGGCTATTGGGTATATGAGTGGTCTTTTATAGCATGGTCATATGCGTACTTATATGGAGGCTATACTTCAGGGGTAATACGAACCCTTCTCAAGCGGTCTGGCGAGGCAAGAGAAAGCACTGCGCACATCATCCGAGGGATCCTTGTTACCTTGTTCATCTCAGGACATCCTGAACCCTAGGCCGTCAGAGGAAGCTGGAGGGAACGGCAAACCGCGCTGCTGGGCATGCTGAGATTGGGGAGGCATCCCAACAGAAAGTACGAAGATGCCCCCGCGAAGCCTAAAGCCTAACAGGCTAGGGAGTCTGGACTGCAATGAAACCCTGAACGCTCCCTCACAAGCCTTCCCGATCTCCCCTGTGCTCAGGCTGGGCAGTGACATGCTTGAAACACGTGAAACTCGCTCTGTTTATCATTCGTCGTGAGTTCATGGCCTTGCTTGATCCGTAAAACCATTAAAAGCGGCTGTAGCCAATCCGTGAGGGCTACAGGGAAGTTTTCGGCTTCGACTTCTGCAAAGCGAACGCCTGCCACGGCGAGGCTCCTTGCTCCTCGTCTGCAGAACATTAAAATCTGGCTTTGGGACTGGTCCCCAAAGAGCCAAATACTGCTTCATGTCAAAAATACACGTACCTTAAAATTACACAGAGCCCCATATTTATTGCGTAAGGCATACATTCCTGGATTTCGATTACGTAAGAGGTACCGGGCTCCCAGGGTTTCGGACTGGCAAAACGAAGCCTCCAACCCAAAATCGAGAAACGAGACACAGGCACCACAGGACGACTTTCTGGGTTGCTACTCCAACCGCAAGCCCCGTTTCACAGTCCTACTTCTCAAAACTTGCTCGCAATGCCGTTCCGATTGGCGACTATTGGGGTTACTAGAGGGTTACTATCAGGGTATTGTAAGGATATTATAAGCATTGCATTCAGACAACAGCTCGTGCCATGCTTTTGATGGCTGGCGGTGACTTAAAAATCCATCTCCCTTCGTTAATTACATGCAATGTATAACATTAAATAAACAATAGCATATGCGTATGTAGTAGTATAGTGCATAAACATATACATGTGCGTAAAGCAAACATATACATGTACATGTACATATACATATACATATACATATACATATACATATACATATACATATACATTTACATATACATATACACATACATATACATACACACAGAAAAACAAAAACAATACATATACATATACATATACATATACATATACATATACATATACATATACATATACATATACATATACAAATACATATACATATACATATACATATACATATACATATACATATACATAAACATGTACATATACATATATATATATATACATATACATATACATATACGTATACATAAACATAAACATATACATATACATATACATATACATATACATATACATATACATATACATATACATATACATATACATATACATATGCATATGCATATGCATATGCATATACATATACATATACATATACATATACATATACATATACATATACAAATACAAATACAAATACATATACATATACATATACATATACATATACATATACATATACATATACATATACATATACATATACATATACATATACATATACATATACATACAGAATAGTACGCCATGGCAGTGTGCGTTTGCGAGAGTCGTGTTTTGGATGAGTTTTGGTGATCCGGAGTGTTATTCTTATGTCGCATGTTATACTCAAGAGCTTTTATTAGCTTTGTCATGAGTAATAGACTTTCAATAGACGGTCCCTTTTCAAAGAACTAAAGCCATGGCCCCAAGGTGTTGGTACAGTGGTTTAGATACCCCGGGTGGGTAGCAAAAAAAACAAAAAAATGACCCTATAGGGCCTGCTTTTGAAAAAAAAACAACATGTTTTTTGCCACACCCTCCCCCCCCAAGGGCCTTTGGAGGCCTCTCCGAGGTCTCTCCGAGGCCTTTGAAAGCTGGAGGACGCAAGTCTCTCTACTCAAAGCCTCGGCCGTGGCCGTGGCATTCCAGTTCCCGCTCCACTCGCTCATCTTACATGAAAGAGGTATGGATGGGCAGGAAGTTCTCACGCCGTGACTCAGGGTGACATGGCCTCCCAATCCCAACGAACCAAATCCTTTCAAGGGTGGCGAACCTGAAACCTCTATTGAAAGTGGTGATCGGTTATCCAGAATTCAAGACCTAGTAGACAACATTGGGCCATCATGAGAAGGCTTGACGACATTGGACCATCATCCGAAGGCTTCGACAGTAGACAATGAATGAGTCGCAACATGTTACAAGCCATCACAAACTTCCACATCTAGGACAGTACATATATTCTACACATATTTATATATCTTTATAGGTTTGTACCTATACCTATATGTAGGCTCATACAGGCGAATGATGGCATGCACCCGAGTCCCGTACTGTATCACCACAAGACGGAAGTAATAAAATATTTTCCTGGGCCCGAAGCTCCAAATGATGAGCAATCTGTTCCCCAAAAGCAAAAAATATATCCATCATGACGGGTTCCTTGATGTGGGTGGTGCTGAAACCTAGAAACCACCAAACCAAGACTAATTCAAAACAGCTCAACATGAGATGTACGAACCCAGCACTCGGCAAGGAGGGATAGATGACACATGGCTCGGTTCCCGAAATTCATGACCTTCAGCGGGGTATGGTTGAAACATGTAGATAGGCGGAAAAAACGTGAAAATTAGGGATCCCGGGTTCCCACAATCCATGTCCCGAACAGAGTGAGTGGTGTGGATAGGTTGTTAAACATCCCAATATGAAGATTTAGGCATTGAAAACCGTAGTTTCAGAATAAGAAGATGGGTGGCCAACCCAAAAGCCCTTGAGGGGATGATCTGTTCCGCCAAACACATAACCGAACTTAGGGCATTGCTCACATAAATTTTAGACGTGCGGCAAATCCTCAATCTTAGACCTGGTCAAACCGATGCAATAAAAGGGATACGTGGTTCGACGTACCGATCTCCCCCAAACCCATAAATCTAGAATGAGTGATTGGCGCAGAAAAATGAAACCTATCAGTAAGGGGATATTTGCTTCGAAAGCCAACATGAAACACCAAACCCTACACAAGGTGATTGGGCCTCCAAACCCTCGCAGGGAGAGTCGGGTAAGCTATGGGGTACACCCAGATCCTCGAAGGAAGTGCTGGGCGGCAAACCATTGGTTCTTTCTAAAGATGCATAGAACTTCGAAATCGAGAAAATCACAGGGGCATAGTTAGCAACTGTAGCCCGTGTGCAAACAAGGGTTGGATGGGTGGCGAAATCACAATTCTATCCTCAAAGCTGTGATTGGTTTGGTTTTTCCAAACATGTCACGTCGTAGTATGTTTGCTCCCCCCAATCCGAGGCTTCTCCAAAACACGATGGGTGGCAAACCTTAAGCAACTTAGAAGGTGACGGGCCGCCAGAACTTTACACCCCACAGGAAGTCCCCGATTACTTCGCGGTTCTACGTATCTGTGATGGTCTGTCTGTCAGTATGTTCGTCCGGCGAGACCCCTGCAGCCTATGCTACTTCCGTTTTCGTACACAAACTAACATGAGTATAAACAGGAGTATACGCACACAAACATGCACACGTACATGTCGAGGCATACAAAAAGCCTGGGAAGTCTTCCCACCACCACAATAAGTCCTTTTCAAGATGCATGGAACCCCAAATGCAACGAACCTACACGGGCATTGTTAGCAACAGTAGGGCGAGTGCATAAGTGCAAGTATTTTACGACACAAGGCATGGTTCATTTGTCATATGAATGAGTTTGCAATACTACAAATCTATGCATAAAAACTGGAAATCAGTCTGGAAACGTACATATTAGGTGATGATGCCAGCAAAAACACGAGGGAAAATTACTGGTTTCGTGGGAAACCCACACCGCCACATAAATATATATATATATATATACAAACACAAATACATACACATACGCATGTACATGTACTTGTACAAAAACATGTACATGTACTTATGCATATATATGTATATATATATATATGTACCAATACATACACATATACATACACATGCACATACACATAGACATATACATATACATAGACATATACATACACATATGCATATACGTATGCATATGCATGTACATATACACATACACATGCATCTACATACACATGCAGACACAAATACTTCATAATGCATCCACATATACTAGGACCTGTACCTATGCCTGAGCCCATAACAAAAAAAACTCATGCACAGACATACACACACGCACACATACACGTGTACAGACGTATAAACACACACACACACACACACACACTCCCATATACACGTACAATCACGTAAACATACATGTACCAGGACACATACTCACGTCACACATATGCCATCATATGCCTACACATGCATATACACATAAACAGACACGTACACATCAACGCACTCAGACACACCACACATACACATGCACGTCTTTCGATATTGCCGTCATACAGAATGCTTATGTTATCAAAGCAACCACGGCTGATGTCTGCTGGCGCACCTTAGGGCTCCTCCACAAACGTAGGAGCCTTACTAACTTGAACAGGGTTCTGGTGTACATTTATAGTGAAATTATAGAAGCACTCTAATAAGATATATACTAGGAACTCTGCCCAACGATACCGGGCCTGAGTTCTGTTACAGCGCAGTGTGCTATATCATATCGCTGTACCAGACCAGCAGCAGATCAAAAGGTTGCTATTCCATACCTTAAACTACCATGACCTACTTTTTGGCAGGATCTTGTTACAAACCTTTATTTTGGAATTTGGAGGGACCCCACAAAAAACTAGCTTGTTCTAGTTCAAGGTACAATACTAGAATACCGTGCAGGCTGTTCACTGGACTGTGCTCTTCTTCTCGGCGCCGCCTCCAGGACTACCCGCTCTGCGATTTCGGTTCAGGAGTGTTGCCGGCTCGGACCGCTCTCGGCATTCCACAAGACGAGCTAGTTGGCTTTGGCTAGACTGCGTCTGGGCATGGCCCGGGCCCAGCACTTCTACTTGGGCATCCAGGACGTGCTGGCAAACTCGTATTGCCTCCTCGGTTCTGCCTAAGTCATGCAAGCATTCTGCCATGTTTCCTTGATAAAAGAGCGTAGCCCAGTGGCGTGCTCCCAGGGTCTCAATCTGAGCAGCCAGGACCTCTTGGTTCATCTGCAGTGCCTCGTCGCGCTTGCCCATACGCCTGAGAGTGACTGCCATGTTTCCTTGTGCCAAGAGCGTTTTCGGGTGGCGTGCTCCCAGTGCCTCAGTCCGAGCAGCCAGGACCTCTTGCTCCATTTGCAGCGCCTCCTCGAACCTGCCCAGACTGAAAAGAGTCATTGCCATGATTCCTTGCGCTTGGAGCGTGTCCGGGTGGCGTGCCCCAAGAGCCTCAGTCCGAGCAACAATAACCTCTTGCCCCATCTGCAGCGCCTCGTCATGTCTGCCCAGTTGTTGGAAAGTGACTGTCAGTATTTCTTGCGCTGCGAGAGTGTCTGCGTGGCGTGCTCCCAGAGCCTCAGTCCGAGCAGCCAGGACCTCTTTCTCCATCTGCAACGCCTCCTCGAACCTGCCCAGACTCTTGAGGGTGCTTGCCATGTTTCCTTGCACTTGGAGCGTGTCCAGGTGGCGTGCTCCCAGAACCTCAGTCAAAGCAGCCAGCACCTGTTGCATCTGCAGAGCTTCCTCATACCTGCCCAGCCTCTGGAGAGTGATTGCCACGTTTGCTTGCACTCTGAGCGTGTCCGGGTGACGTGCTCCCCAAACCTCAGTCCGACCAGCCAGGGCCTCTTGGTACATCTGCAGCGCCTCCTCATGCCTGCCCAGACTAAAGAAAGTCATTGCCACGTTTGCTTGCGCCTGGATCGTGTGCGGGTGTTGTGCTCCCAGAACCTCAGCCCGAGCAGCCAGGACCTCTTGTTGCATCTGCAGCGCTTCCTCATGCTTGCCCACTTGGTTCAGATCGCAAGCAATGTTTCCTTGCATTGAGAGCGTGTCCATGTGGCTTGCGCCCAAAATCTCAGTGAAGGCAGCCAGGACCTTTTGTTCTATCTGCAGCGCCTCCTCTTGCCTGCCCAGACTCTTGAGACTGGCTGCCATGTTTGATTGCGCTTTGAGGGTGTGCGGATGGCTTGCTCCAAAAGCCTCGATAAACGCAGGCAGGAACTCCTGTTCAACCTGCAGCGCCTCCTCATGCCTTTCCAGGTTAATCAGAATCATGGCAACGTTAGCTTTTGCTAAGAGCGTGTCCGGGTGGCTTGCTCCCGGAGCCTCTGTCCAAGCAGCCAAGACCTCGTGTTGAATCTGTAAGGCCTCCTCATACCTGCCCAGCTGTACGAATGTGAGTGCCAGACTTTGTTTTAGTCCCAGCTCCCACGAGTGCCGTTCACTGAGGATGGCCTGGACGAGGCGAAGACGCAGCTGCAGGAAGCAGGCCTCAGCCTCCAAGGAAACCCAAACAGAGGCTTCTAGAGATGGTGCGAAGTGTCAGGAGTCAGGGTGACTTAATGAGTATTTAAGTTCGGTTGAGGGCAACGTCGTGGGTCCTGGGAGTCCATGTCTAGTCAGTGCGAGCGGCTTTCGTCCCTTGCCCGGCCTCCCAGGCCTCCACGTGTCGCTGCTCGTCCTCGAGCACGGCTGCTCGAAGAGCAAGGCAGGCGATGATTTTTATGCAGCTCACCCCGATGAAGAGAAACTGCATTGTGGAGCCGCCATACACAATAACAAAAAGGGACTGCAGCAATGCTTGGGGCAGGTCTTCCGTAAGTGCCACAGCAAGCTTCGCAGGCGAGGTCTGGTCATCCAGAAAACTCAGTTTCCGGTGCAGGATGGCTTGCACCGGGGACAGCTGCTTCAGAAGGTCGTGCGAGTGGAAAGCTTGCATGTAGGCACCGGAAATGAAAAGCACCAGCACGCCCAAGGTGGCCAAGATGTAGCCGAAGTACGACTGCGTGGCCACCGCCAGCCCAATGAAGAGCCAGTCCTTGAACACATCGAGAGGCTCCCCCAGGATGGGCAGCACCGCCTGAATTATTGGGTAGCCCAGCGAGGGCACCGCACAGTCGCTCGGAAGGCAGACCACAAGGCCAGCTGCTTGAATAAAGTAGATCGGCAGCATGATCAGCACCCAGAACTCGTAGACCTCCCAGCAGAGGCCGTCATGGGCATCCAGGCGACCTGTGGCTGAAGATAACAATGCCAAGGTGGCGCAGAAGATATGCAAGACCAGCTGCCAGAAGACCCGGTGCCAACAGAAGCCCTGACCACGTTCGTTCTCTTCGTTTCGGGGCTCATGAACTGGCAGCGGGGTGAAGCTGGGCGGCGTTTCTGACCGCATCCAAGCGGCCAGCCTGCGGCCCTCCCTCCCAAAGCGCGTCAGCAGCTCCCCAAGCACAAAGAAAACGAAGATCAGCCACAAGATCGAAGATAGTAGTAGTCAAACCTCTGCTCCTGCTCACTTTTGCTAAGCTGGCTCCCAGCGTGCAAGGGAAGTGCGTGCTCAGGCCGATCGAACAAGTGCACGCAGCTTTCCAGCCGTCTCCAGTCCAACAGCAAAGAGATGTTCATCTTCGCTGCGGCCCAGGGCGATGCGAACGCTGCAGCCACCATAGCTGAGAGACCACTCAGAACCAGAACGATTGATTCAGCGCCGCTATCAAAAGACTCCCTCAATCGACATCCTGCTGCCGCCACACTCCAAAGAAAGGCGAACGGCGGCACAGTTGCAATCCATATGACGAGGAAGAGCAAAACTTCGAGCAGCAAGTGCCAAGCCAAAGTCGCCCACTTGACTGTGCAGGCCGGCACCTTGACCAGGTTTGGAACAGCCGGGAGGAAGGCCACGGCCCTCTTGGCCTCAGCAAGGCTGCTTTCTTCTAGGCTCTGCGAGCCGAGGAGCCGCCTCGTAGGCTGGTCCATTTTTCCGGCCGAGAGCAGAACCAGTAGCCCGGAACAGGCCAGGAGCACGAGTACGAGGAGCCGGGACGGTGAGATCATGGCTCAGGCGGAGGAGGCACAGCAAAGCTCGAGTCCTAAAATCCGCGGACGCCCACGGGTGCTGCAACATCAACACATCTATGAGGGCTCTGGGTATCATTCTGCAGAGCAATTCGTGGCATGCCCAATGCTTTTGATCTGTTGCTGATGCTCTGTTAAGCATGTTGCGTCTGCTGGGAGGGCTGTGTGGACGGCGGCAACAGCGCAAGGAGTTCACTCTTCTACCCGCGGCAATGTCGCATGGCTTCTATGCCCTGTACTGGTGGTATGACATGGCTGCTAGGCTATAGTTGTACGACATTCTGCAGCAGCACAGCGCTCCAGGATACCCAAATCCCGAAAACTGAGGGCACAGGCAGCGAGTGCCATCGGCCCCCGCCTACGGCACGAAGCATGCAAGCCCTCCCTCGATCATTTGGCCCCTCATTGAAGAAAACGACGGAGCCACATGCTTTAGGATCACATGCGATACTCAAGTTATTCGTCTCATTGTCATACTCGCGACCTTGGCCACATGACACGGCACAGGATCTTAGCAATGTCCTGCTTCTGATAACTTGATGAAAACTACAGCCTTAACGCACGAGCGACCCGAAGCAGCTACCGGACGACACCAGCCTGCAAAGCGATGGCCTTGCTGAGGAGGTGCTCCTTCACGCTGTTGGCACTGTATGTAATGCTTCAGCTTGGGCCTCAGGCTGCACCCCGTCTTACACTCCTTCTGGGGCTTTGCCTCGCGCTCCTTTCTCATCAGGGCGTATTGGGCTAAGTCGACGCATGCCTCCAATTGGGGACCCTGTGGTCTGCATCGGAACAGCTGAGAGGACTAGCGAAAACATCTGGACCACCCTGGGTTGCCATCTCTCCCTATGCTTAAGCCCCAAACCGTTTTGGTAGTGGAGATCTTAACAAGAGCAACAAACCAGGGACCTTATCGCGGGCTAGAACTGCAGATTTCTTCAAATTCGGGATACCCTACTTCGCCATAGTAGCAGTAAGGCGCCAAATAGGAATTGAGGGCCTACTGCGGTCCACTCTCTTCTAAGACTCCATGTTTGATCAGACTCCGAAATGCCCAAAACTAGCACCTCTATGTCTTCGTGCTCTTCTTTTCATTGCGGGACCTTGAAACGAAAGCCCTAACACCGAAACCTGTAAGACCAACCCCCAAACCAAGAAGCCCTGCACCTCAATATATCAGGAACCCTAAAGGTATTGGCAAATGTTTAGGCCCCTGTATTACACAGAACCAGATCCGAGAGCGCGAAACTCACGCTTTGCCTTTTTCATCGCCCCCCCTTGCCCAGTTTGTTGGGGGTCTTGTTTTGGAACTATAGGTCTAGGAATCAGGATTTAGGAGTTTAGGGGTTAGGAGGGCCTGGGTTTAGGGATTAGGCGGTTGAAATGAAGTCCATGAAAATTTTGCTACAGGGTGTAAACTTCAAACGTGAGTCTCAGAATTTATTTTGGAGTTTGCAAGGAACCTAGAGGTTGAGGAGGATGTCTTGGATTTTGGACTAGGCTGGGGCCGAAGTGTTCAAGTCTAGCGATTCAGAGGTGTGGCATTCCTGCGAGTTTGGGACGCGCTTTGGGCGTCGAAAGTGCACGAACTTGGAACTACATGAGGGCTTCCAGGGCTTAGGGGGTTCTTGCATGTGGAGCTTGAGTGCGTTCAGCATTCGGGGCTCCAGCGATTTGAGGTTGTCGACGATAGCTCCACACTGCAGGGGAAGAGCTCGACAGGAACGCAGAAATGGAAGAAATGGTCATAGTACGAGTAATAGCAACAGTGACAATAATAATGAGAAGAATGATAATGTGATGTAGTAGTAGTCGCAGCAGCAGCAGCAGGAGGAGGAGGAGTAGTAGTAGTGTAGTTACGTTCCGGTTTCAAAGGTTCCCAAATTTAGGGGTCGGATCTGGTAAACAGAGCGGCCACCTCGGAAGCTTTTGGACCCTTGGCCCCTCTCTCCTAAATCCGACCTGAGCCAAGCTAAAGCTACCCTGTTATAGAGCCGCGCAAGCGAAGTCTATATTCGGATATGTATTAGATTGCATAAGGGTTTAGGGTTTAGGGTTTGGGGTTTAGGGAAGTCTAAATTCGGATATGTATTAGGGCCGTACAACAGCTTGCGTCGTGGTTGGCTTTGCTGGCCCCAAACCACCCCATGCTGTCCTCCGTTCGGATCGGCTCTATCGGCTCTCAGCTGACCACCACCTCGAAACGCCAAGATGGCTTGAACTGGGGGGCCTGAATAACTAGAACGGAATGTCGGAATCACTAGAAGGGGTACATTCTGCTGTAATCATAAGAGGAACCCTAAGGTATCCAGAATTCCACAGACCTTCCACAATCCCTTAGTTAAGAACATACATAAAATCACATTGCTAAATTAAGGGATATTGGGAGGCCTGGGTCTAACGGAGGACGGGACGTCCTGCCCAGCACTTACGGTGGCAGGCTTCGGGTTGCATGTTTAGTAAGTACGGCTTAAGGCTTCGGCGAATTTGGCCCCGGATCTGGAGATTGGGGTCGACTCGGGACTAAGCTTACGGTCCTTAAAATACTAAAAGATCAGCGCATGGTCATGTTTCTTGCCCGGGACAGCAGCAGTACGTTGCCACACAACACACAACTGCTCAATCTTCCAGCCCTGAAGCCCTAAACCCTGAAAGAAAAACCGCAAGAGCCCAAGGGACCTTGAAAACAGCCAAACGAAGCGTTGACACTCCCGTCTAAGATCACCCCTAAACTCTGAAATCCTACTCTGCAGGCACAAGAATATCTTTCGGTAGATCCCTATACAAGACGGCATAGCTGCTAACTCAAAAAGCCGAGAAACCTTTAAAAGCACCCAAGGCAGCCGTAGAGGCCAGTAAAATCCTTCAAACAAACAAAGCACAGTACCCAGACCTTGCAATAGCCCTTAATTCATCAAGGTTCTACTTTCATGGTTCTACGATAATAATTAAGAGCTTTATAAGGGTCTTCGTAAGGGCTTTTAGCAAATAGACTTGAAGCTGCTAGTAAGGAAAGCACGTCTTCTTGCTTGTCCAGGCTGGTACCTGATGCATTGAAAAAACTGGAAGTGCATTCTGGTAACTTAAAACGAAGTTGTCTTACCAAAATCCTTCAATCAAGCGCGGCCCAGAAACGATCGTGATCGGCTGCAGACCGAAGACCACTGGCTGGGCGAGCGAAGTCGACGGAACAGGCATCGCTGCCTTTTCAAGGGAACCCTGACTGGAGTTTAAGGCTTAGGGTTCAGGATATGGGTTTAGGGTCCTTAAACCCAAACCGGAAAAGCCTAGCCTAAACCCCGAAGGGTTTAGAGTTCGAGGTCCGTTGAATCAGGTGGGAGGAACTGGGACCAGGTCGTCCACTCATGCCTTCTTCTGCATGGCGATGCTTTTCAAAACTAGGGCAATTGGCAACCTGAGCATTTACAGTGGGATTTCGGCGTTTCTATAGCAAAATACATGCGTGCTCAAGGATAGTACTTATTCCTGATATTTCAGCCTTGCTTTGATATCAAAATACCCTTATAGCCCCGACTATATTAGTGTAGTATATATCCCAAAACCCTGCTCTAGCTGTGAAGACCCCTATACCACCTGTATGCTGCCTAGCTCTCCATCACGGATGCACGGAACATAGCAACATCCTCCCGCGAATTCCACACCCTTAGCCCCAAACATGCGAAGCGGTCGACTACTAGGATTTAGCGTGTAGGTAGATTGGTATAACCCTCGAAACAAAGGTTGCGACCTTGTACTCAGAGTAACCGGTAAAATGATGCTTAGCTCTATGACTATGGGCAGAGAGAAACCATAAACCCCAAACCCTGAACCCCTAAACCCCAAATCCTACGAGCAGAGACACGCAATGCCAAAAAGCGTCCACTGCTGCCATCAAGTACCGCCACTTTCCTGGGGCTACCCTCGCAGATCTTTGAACCATTCGCTGCAGGAATCGTTGTGTTCATGGCCTTGGAGTGTCGTAAAACAAAATGAGCTCTGTGAATCTAAACTCATAGAATGAGGTTTAGGGTTTAGGGTCCAGGGGGGGTGATTTCGTAAGTCTGCTCTAAGCTGTAATGGCTCCTATACGGCTGGCCCCATAAAGATCTAAGTTGTAGATCAGATTTAAAAATAAGCACACTTAGGAAGTAGATTGAGAAGGGGTGACAAGCACTCCTTGTTGGAGTAAACCTGCTTCAAACATCACTAACAACGTACAGCCCAATTCTCTGAAAAGCCTCCAATGCGTAGTCCTCTATATTAGGGCCCCTTGTTAGGTCCCAAAAACAGTACGCCCCCCCCTACGTAAAGGACCCCAAA